AGCTTGAGTGAGAAATGACATATTTTTGCTCAGCATCAAAATTTGACTTCTGAAGTAGTATAAAATCAACTTTTTATTCAAATGCAATTTGAAGACAAGAATAAATGCAATTTGAGTTTCTATTCACATTATTTTGAATAAATGTGATTTTTGAAGAGTTTTTAAACTTTTTTTGTTATTTTTATTGTATATTCATACTAAAAGAGAGTAGAGTAGAATCTAATCACTATCATCAGATAGTAGGTTATAACTGTTCTGAAAAATAGAAATCTCAACTGCTTGCATTATATCTAGTTTATTATCAGAGTCATTTCTCAATTCTCTAATCTTAATAGAAGTTTGAGAATTCAAATTCTGTTTACATTTCACTGGAGAATTGAAGTTTGAAGACTTAGATAATTGAGAGTTTCTTCTTTTTAAGCTTGCAGTTGTGAGTTTACTGGCTTGACTATTCTCTTCAGTTCTAGATTTACTCTGAGCTTCATCTTTTCTTCAGTTCTTTTGAGTTCTTGGAGTAAACATACATTCTTTTGAGCTAGATATATATTTTTCTTTATAATTAGAGCATTTAAGCAGAGTGTGTTGACATATTTCATCTCTTTTTGAGTATGTTTCATATTTATGCTCACTAGTTTTATGATCTCTGACACAGAATGCACATTTTGAGTCTCTGAAACAGAAGATTGCAAAGTGTTCATATCTTTGACAGTTTGAACACTGTGTTTAAGCTTTGAGATTCATTCTTGAGTCTTTGTATTCATGAACTCTCATTTTCAAATCTGCTACTCTTACTTCAGAGATCTTTGACTGTTTCATTGTCTTTATATATACTAGAACAGAGACATTTCTTCTGCTTTGTCTGAACTTAATTGAATTTAGTCATACAGGCTTCTTTCTCAGTTGAATAGAGTTGTATTCTTCTAATTCATTTTTGAGAAGTAGCATTCCTTCTTCACAGTTAAAAATTTCAACTGAAATATCATGAAGAATAAATTTGTCTCACTTTTTATCTCTCTCAGATAGAATTGTTGTAGGAGTATAGTTAAACTTCAAGTTGAATTTTAAATATCACATTCAACAAAGAACTGTCAAGGCAGAAAGACTATTGAACAACATAATCAGACTATCAAATACAGAGAGAGGTCTATCCTTCCAGGCTATGAGACAGTTATATATAGCCTGTATTACATCAGTAGCTGATTATGAAGTTCAAGTTTGATGAAATAATCAAGGGAATTTCACTGAACTCTTTCAAAGTCTGTAAAACAGAGCCTTGAGAAGAATTCTGAGAGCATTCAAATCATCTTCTATTAAAGCAATGGAAATTGAAGCTTCAATTCCTTCTTCTGCTATTAGATTTGAAAAGGCCTGTATGAACTATACTCTGAGAGTTGTAAAGATGAGCTCAAATTATATAATCAGAGAAAGAGTCTCTTCTTCATTTCCATTAATTAACTCTGGAAATGAACTGGATTGAAATAGATTTCTTGATTGAAATGAAAATAATTCTTCAAAGAAAATGCCTTCTCAACTGTACAGACTATACTCTCTGATTAAAAATCAATTTTCTTCTTTAAATATTGAAAAAGTTGATTATGAGAAGTTATCTCTCTGAAGAGAAAAGCTTGAATCTCTTATAGACTTACAAATAAGTGAACTATTAAAAGAGAAAGAATATGAACAGCATTTAAAGAGAATTTCTACAATCAATATAAAAGACTCTATTCTGGTTTATTCAGATGGCTCAAAAAATGAGAACTTGAATAGATTAGATGCAGGCATTGCTTATACTGAAGATAATATTAATTTTATCTCAGATTTCTGAAATCTAGGCTCTGAATGTGAAGTCTTTGATGCTGAACTATTTGTAATAGTGAAAGCTTTCAAACTCATTGAAATAAAATCTTATAAAAGAGGAAATTGTTTGAAAGAGACATGAATATTCTCTGATAGTCAAGCTGCTTTAAAAAGACTTAGAAATAGTCAGATTCATAATGATCAAATGAATCTTGAACTGATCTTAAACTCTGTTTTGAAAATTCAAAAGAGAAGAATATCAAAGCTAATAATTCATCTGCACTGGGTTCCTGCTCACATGAATATTCATGGTAATGAATTAGCTGATTCAGCTGCAAAAAAGAGTGCAGAATTAAGCAGATCTATTCAAAAAATTATGTCCTGGTCTTTTATAAAGAGAAAAATAAAAGAATCTTGTTTAGACAAGTGGAATGAAAGCTGGCAGAAACAAAAGAAGAGTATACATTATTCAAGATTTGAAACAAAACCCAAGTGGAAATCTTGTTTAATTAAATGTAAAAAGAAAATATTCTCATCTATAATACAGCTGAAACTAGGACATGGCTATTTCAAATCTTATATACAAAGATTTGATGATAGATTTGACTCAATAGAATGCTCATTCTGCAATACAAATGAGAATTCTGAGTATATTATAATGCACTGTGTATTATACAATAGTCTCAGAGCCAGATTGAAAGAGAAGTATGATCTAAATCAATTAAATATGAGATTCTTATTCTCAACTGAGACAGGAATTAAATACTTAATAGACTTTCTATCAGAAACTCAAGCAGCTACAAGAAAATGGCTAAATTCAGAATTATCTGAGTATGAAGAGGAGGAAATTAATCAGATATAGTCTGTTAAAACAGCTATATACTCTCTTTTAATAATTTGTTTTGTTATAGTCTCTCTTTACTTTATCTTTTTCTTTATCTTTTTCTTTCAATTTCTTTCTATCTATTTATTTAATGTGTCTATCTTTGAGACTGTGTTCTTTTTCTCTTTTCTTTTGTCATGATATTGTCAAATGATTTCAAAGTATCAAAAGATGTTAAAACACTGCAATTTGTAAACAGTTTTTGTATTCTGAGCTGGAATTTTCTGATTTTGCATATCTGAAATTGATGAATGTATAATAGTTAACTTTACAGACATAGAAAAAACCCTGAGAACTAAAGTTCTCAGGTAGATGTCATAGTCTCTGACTGCATACATCTATAATTGAAGAATAATAATAATAATATAGAATTGTTGTGTTTAACAAAGATTCTACTGCTGATTTTCAGAGATTCTTATTCTGAATAAGAAATTCAGCACTGAATTCAGGCATTGTAGTCAGAATGATGAAGTTTTCAAAGAAGAATGACTCAATTGAAGCTATAACTGGTTTTTGAACTTCAATATCAGTCATTAACTGAGAAAAGAACTGCTGATTGATTTCATTTCTAATTCTGAAAATGAGGTTTGAGCTTAGCTTATTTCTCTGCAATATATTCTGATTTGAGACTTTGAGAATAAGTCTTCTATCTCTGAAGATTTGAAGATTTTTCTCTTTTTATATTTTTTTCTTCACTCTTCTATCACTAGAAGTATGAGCAGTATTCTTCTCAGTTTTCTCAGAATTTTGAGCAGGTTTTGAGATAGCAGATTTAGAGATAGTAGGTTTAGAGATAGCAGATTCAGCTGCTTGAGCATATGTTTTCTTCTGATTTAAAGAAGAAGAAGAAGAAGAAGTAGAGAAGAAAGCAGAGTAAACTGAAGAGTCAGTGATTGTATTAGAAATTTTCAAAGTTTTTTGAACTGTGTTTGAAATTCTAAGTTTGAACTTGATCACTTTCTGTAGTTGTCTAGCCTGAGTATGAAGAATTAACAGAACTTCTTCATTCATCTCACTCAGACACTGCTTTTCAAGAATTTTACTTGCTTTTTCAAGTTTCTGTATTTCAAGAACTTATTGTTTCTCTATTTCTTCTTTCTTTCTTCTCTTCAGAATTTCAATCTCAGAAATAGTATTTGAGAAAGCATCTTTTTTCACATCAACTGAGTGTACTTTTGAACTCATTGTTCTTACTCAATGAAAAGTTGATCAGACTAATTCAATTGAGATATTTATTAAACTCTTTTAAATTGAAAAGTTGATCAGACTGTTTTAATTAAGAGATTTCTAAGTCTGTTTTCAATTGAAAAGTTGATCAGACTATTTCAAAAGAAGAATAGCAAACTTTTGTGTATAAAACATCTGATTTTTTTCACACTAGTTCAGTAACTAGGTTAGATTTTTGAAGAGAATCTAATAAACTAAAATTGATTTTTAAGATAAATCAATAAAATCTTTACAATCTCTTTCTTGGGATACAGTGAGAAAAAGTATAATATCAATTGATAGTAAATCAGATAATATGACAGTTTTTGAGAGAAAAACTGATAAAAAATAAATCAATTTTTTACAGAGAAATTGATTAAAACTATTTAATTTTATTCTAAATTATTCAATTCTTCTCACACAACAAGTGTGCAACTCAAATCAGTTAATAAAGAGTATAAAAAAGAATTAAGTATTAATAAAAGCTCTTCAGTCACTGAAAAAGTAATTCTTACTTAAAAGAATATGAAATTATGATAGAAAACAACTCTGTTTTTAATTCTTTGTAAGAATATTATATAAAACTCAGAGAAAAATATCTTACTTTTTCAAGAGAAGTAAAAAACTATTTCTAAGATCTTTTTTTTTTGCATTAACTGCTGTAGAAGAATGAGATAGAAACTGCTAAGATATGCACTACTGTATACTCTCTATCAAGACTTTTCCTCTTCAGAGTCTTGATATTATAGAGAATATAAGTCTGTTTCTATATAATAATGTAAATATTGTCAGTGAAATGTAGAGAAACTGATTATTTATATCTCAAAATAGAAGACTTTATCAATGATTATATTAATATAGAGTTAATTCTCAAATTCAATAGAAATCTAGTGTTGCTGTTCTCAATCTCTTGCAGAATCTATTGAATATTGAGATATTAAAACTAGATTTAATATATCTCACTGTGCAGGAATCAAAGGCTCAGTCAGATCTTGAGATATACTGATTTTATAGTTGTTGTGTCTGCTGATTATGTATTGAGCACAGTTGCTGAGGTATCTTTTTGTACTTTTCTGTTGTGGATGGGTCAGATTGAGAGGGGTGGTACGAGGGTGAGACTTGGTGTTGATGTCTAGATACACTGAAGACAGACCGCGGAGGTTGCACTTCAGAAGTGGCTGTTGGTTATGTGCTTGATATTATTGCCGAGGTATCTTTTTGTATTTTTCTGCCGGGGATGGGCCAGATTAGGAAGGGCGGTACGAGGGTGGGACTTGGCATTGGTGTTTTGGAACATCAAAGATGGACAGGGTTTTCGCGGAGGTCGCTCCTCAGATATCTCCACAACTACAGATCGGGGATCTTCCAAAATCAAGAAGATTGGTGCATATGGCTAGGTCTCTTCACCTTACAATTTGTATGGCAATTTGGCCCGGGGTTGTGGTGTGGTAGGGGAGAATGGGGGATAATCCCACGCAGGAGTTCCGAACGACGTCTGGTTCACGTTTGGCTGGATAACTCCACCACCACACGGGGTATGCGGTCGGCGATGGGGTCAAAATGCTCGTATGATCGAGGGCTTTTCGATGGATCTATCGGCGGGTTCTTATTCGAAAAATCGAGCGAGTTCGTGGTGGAGCGGTTTGAGTATGACTTAAATGCTCTAATTGAGATTCTTAGTGAAGATTACATCATTCTAACTTATCAGAATTCACAGTATAAAAGTCATATCTCAGCTTCTGCAGATATCTTATCTGCTCAGATAATTCTCAAGTGAACTTATTCATCTTGTCAGAATACTCTTATCACTGAACCTTGAATCAGAGCTTATAATCTTGCTTCTCTGAGTTAATAATCTCTTTAATCTGATATTCTCTTTCACTCTCTAGTGCTTTATAGACAGAGTGATGAGTCACAGAGTTCTCTTCTAAGAATTTCTTATATTCATGAAGTAAAGAGACATGAAAAACATTGTATATCTATAACTCAGATGACAGTTTCAATCTGTAGAACTGTAAGCTAACTTTATTCATAATCTTATAAGACTCTATCTATAAGAGATTCAGCTTCTTACTAGATCTCTGTATAATGATATTTTCTAGACTCAGTCAGACTCTATTATCTTTCTTGAAACTCTTTATAATATGCTTAAAGTTATAGTATTTCTTCTGATACTCTTAAGTCTTTCTTAAGAATTCACAGACTTTCTTCCAGATCTTCTGAATTCTCTCAGCCTGTTCACAGACATTATCACACTTTATAGTGTACTCTTACAGGTTCATCAAGATTATTCACAGATGAGTCTCAGTGAGTATCTCAAAGAGAGTTTTATCTATACTGATATACTTTAAGTTGTTATATATAAACTCTGTAAGTGATAATCAATGCACTCAGTCATTCTGATTATAATTGATAAAGCATCACAGATACTATTTCAATATACTTATCAGATATTCTATCTAATCATCTGTCTATTAATAAAAAGCTGTACTTAGATCTCATGAGATTTTCAGTATAGTTATCAGATCAGATCAGAACTCTTCTATAAAGATTAATTCTCTATCTGAGATAATATTTACAGACAATCTATACAACTGAATCACATTGTGAATAAAGATATGAGTTAAATTCTTTAACTTCAAGTTCTTGCAGATAAATATAAAGTGTGTTATCTTAATAAAGTGATTCACTATCATCAGCACACTGTCAAAGCAGATATTATATATGTTCTTGCTTTTCAGAAGGCTTATAAGAATATTTATTTCTAGCTGTTCTCAAGATTTCTGCAGAATAAGTAGAGAAGTAAGTTCTTTATATGCCCCGGTGGCCGAATGGTTAATGCGGCCACCTGGTAGCGCCTTGGTGTGGGAAACCAAGGCGTGTGAGTTCGAAACCCGCAGGGGATACATTAAATCCGGAACCCAAGCACCTCAGGTTCCTAATAAATACAGAGGTGTACAAATCGCTCCAATAAATCGCTCTATGTTCCTGGGCTGGGAAGTTATTATCGCATGTATCTAATTGTCACTCCTTTGTATTTCCTATGTTCTTGTTATCTTGGCGTGGTCTCAACACCTGTATTTCCTCCTGTATAACCAACACTTGGCCTGTATTTAACATCACGCAAGGACTCATCATAAGCTCCGCTTGCATATGAGTATAATGGAAGAATAATAATAATAATAATAATAATAAGTTCTTTATATAATCTGAATCACACTATCTATGAATTCTGATAAACAGTACAAGAATTCACTATCTTCTTTATAAGTTCTCATATCTTCAGTCAGAAGTATTTTCTTATAAGCAACTCATGAGTTCTAGTATCTGTAAAATGACCTGCTAGAGAAGAGTTATAATGCCTTTTAATAAGTTCTATATATAGAAACTTATTCACAGATATATAAATTCAGTTCTCTCTTTATAAGAGATTATTTAAGTCTCTTTAATTCTTTATTTCTGCAGAATTGATCTCTGCTGTAAGCGGTTTCTGAATATACTGAGTATATTCATTCTTCAGTTATAGTTCAGACAATCTGAATAGAAGATCTTATAAAGACTTGTATTCTATTTTCTCTTACATCAGGTCTTCTATGATACTTCTCAAAGTCTGCAAACTCTTCAGATTATAGATACTCTCTTCAAGAATTCTCATAAAGATTCTCAGAGTGTTAACTCTCAGTGTTATAGAGAGTAGTTATACAGACTTCTTCTCTTTCTTCTTCTTCTTCTCTTATAAGAAATTGAGAGACTCTTCAGTTAATCTCTTCACAACACTCAGTCTGAGTATCTTATAAAGCTTTTCTATCTTCTCTAGCTTCTCTGTGTCTGTTGCCCTGATCTTCTTAATATAGTCTGATCTGTGAGAGAGTCTGTTCACTGAGTTCTTAGTTCTCTTGATATATTCTATCTTGAATCAGAACTCACTCAGTCTCTGAGCTCAGTGAATCTGTCACTGTGAGAGTTTCTTGATTGAAGTAAACTATTATAAGCTATTATAATCAGTTCTAACAGTAATCACTATTATAAGACTCTCAAAGTAGTGATATCAGTGATGAAAGAATTTCACTATTATAAGAAGCTTCTGATTATAAATGTTATAGTTGATCTCTGTAAGTTATATCTTCTATGAGAAAAAGATCACTGAAACTCAGTTCTTATTTAACTGTAGTTATGAGACTATTTCTGAAATTGTAAAGAAGAAGACATCTATCTTTAATCTGATTAAGAGTAAGAGATTAAAGTGAAACAGTATTACTATATTCATGAATATCTGTTTCAATCTTGTAAAGACTCTGTGAGCTTCTAAGATAAGAAAGTTCTTACAGTTCTTTCTTCTTAATAATCTTTTCATTCTCTGTTTATAAGATAACTTCTTCTTATTTTCACTCTTCAGTATATCTATAAGAGTCAAGAAGATTCTTCTGAATGCAAAGATAAACTGTCTATAGAAATTCACAAAGCTCAGAAAGATCTGAATCTCATGAATACTAGTTAACTTCAGTCATGATAGAATAGTCTCAATCTGTGAAGATTTCATCTGAATATTATCTGTGATGATTACATATTCTAGAAAATTAATTCAGTGAGTACTGAAGTTGCACTTTGTGAGCTTAATATATAGTTCTGTCTCATCTAAGATCTTTAACACACTTTATATATACTCAGTATATTCTTTCTTCTTCATGAAGTACATCATCACATCATTCAGATATATTATCATGAAGACATTCAGATATATATAAAGTATTTTATTGATGAAAGACTGAAATACTGTAAGAATATTAGTCAGATTAAAAGATATCACTAGATATTCAAATAATCTCAGTGCAGTTCTAAAGACAGTCTTTCATTCATTCTCAGACTGTATTCATAGCTATGTATATACATTGATTACATTCAGTTATATGAATATGACAGCTTCTGTAAGACAGTTAATCACATTCTTAATCAGAGATAGAGAGTAGCAGCTCTTTATTATCTTGAAGTTCAGATCATAATAATCTATACACAATCTGAGATCTTCATTCTTCTTCTTTGTGAATATCACAGAGGCTTTCACAGAGGCCTGTAAAGATTGAATAAAGTCATTCTTCAGATTCTTCTTTACATAGGTTTACAAGATCTCTGTCTCATAATGAAAGAGCTTATAAATTGATTCTTAGAAGAATTTCTGCTCTTCTATCAAATCTATTATCAGATTCTTCTTATAATGAGAAGAAAGCTCAGCTGTCTTTACTGAGCTGAACATCTCTGTGAGATCTCAGTATTTCTCTGATATCTGAAGCTTAGTTTCTATGACTGTGAGATTCTCAGACACTTATAAAGTCATTATATAGATAAGCTTGTCTTCTCTAATTAACTCTACAGTATTAACTGATTCTATCTCTGTAAGTGAGTCTATCAACACTGATTGAAAGTATAAACCTGACTCATAGACAGCTATGTATGAATTGTGTCTTTGAAGTTATGTAAGTCTCAAGTACATATTATCTGTGATGTCTGTGATAATCACAGTTTCTGTAAATCTTCTTCAGATTTCAGAGAGATCTTGCAATTCAAAGATAGCTCTTGTAAGTTTCTTAGCTCTCAGATCTGAGTTCTCATATTCTACTTATTATAAGAGCAGATTCTCAGTCTTTATCTTTCAGCTTATTCACTCTGTGAGCTTTAGAGACATCACAGTGACCTGGGATTCTGAGTTCACTAATGCTTTTCATGCTTATAAGATAGCAGCACTGTAATGCAGTCTCTTCTCATAAGTAAGCATTTTCATCAGAGAAGTAACAGATTCAGGTATCAGCTTTAAGACTCTTAAGAAGACTGTTGCTGACTCTGTCTATAACTTCTCAAATTTCTATTTTAATTTGTCTGAACAGTTTGCATGAAGATGTTCTGATTTAGAATAGATGAAACAGAGTTTCTTTTCCTTGATCTCTCTGTTATGCACTCTGTTTATAGAAGCTTATAAAGCTCTCTCTCTCTACTCAGCAGTCAGATATGAATCTCTCTGTTATTATTATTATTATTATTCTTTCATTATACTCATATGCAAGCGGAGCTTATGATGAGTCCTTGCGTGATGTTAAATACAGGTCAAGTGTTGATTATACAGAAGGAAATACAGGTGTTGAGACCATGTCAAGATAACAAGAACATAGGAAATACAAAGAAGTGATAATTAGATACATGCAATAATAACTTCCCAGCTCAGGAACATAGAGCGATTCATTGAAGCGATTTGTACACCTCTGTATTTATTAGAAACTTGAGGTGCTTGAGTTCCGGATTTAATGTATCTCCTGCGGGTTTCGAACCCACGCGCCTTGGTTTCCCACGCCAAGGCGCTACCAGGTGGCCGTATTAATCATTCAGTCACTGGGGCTGAATCTCTCTGTGTCTTATCATCTTTTTCTGATAAATCTGTTCTCTGTTGTTCTGACTCTCACAGAGCTGATCAGTGATCTGCTCTCTATAAGTCTATAACTCTTACAGTGATTCATAAGTGATGAATAAGAGTTATCAGTTTCTTCAGAGTCAAGAGCTTAGAGCCTTACTCAATGAGCTTGTTCTACATGTCTTTATTCAGTCTCTTTACAAATATCATCATTCAGATCTTGTTTCAGAGCTCTGTTTTCACAGATCTCAATTTACATCATAATTTTATAAAGTGCTGTGAGTAGTCTTCATCAGATTTCTCACCTCTTTTTCTAATATTGATGATCACAGTTCAGATATTCTCTGTTCAGCTCATAGAGTCTCTCAACTTATTCTCTA